GAAATTTATTGAATTTTAATAGGTTAATTAAATTTCCAAGAAGATTTTTCGACTGAAAATATTTTACGACAATTTCGAGCAGAAAATGCAGAAGTTTCTTGTCTTTAAGTTTCACTTTTCTCATAAAAAAATAAAAGCAATTTTTAAATCAATTCTTTGAAAAGATATTTTGAAATTTATTGGATTTTAATAGGTTAATTAAATTTCCAAGAAGATTTTTCGACTGGAAATATTTTACGACAATTCCGAGCAGAAAATGCAGAAGTTTCTTGTCTTTAAGTTTCACTTTTCTCATAAAAAAATAAAAGCAATTTTTGAATCAATTCTTTGAAAAGATATTTTGAAATTTATTGGATTTTAATAGGCTAAAGTCGTTTCCAAGAAGATTTTTCGACTGAAAATATTTTACGACAATTTCGAGCCGAAAATGCAGAAGTTTCTTGTCTTTAAGTTTCACTTTTCTCATAAAAAAATAAAAGCAATTTTTGAATCAATTCTTTGAAAAGATATTTTGAAATTTATTGGATTTTAATAGGCTAAAGTCGTTTCCAAGAAGATTTTTCGACTGAAAATATTTTACGACAATTTCGAGCCGAAAATGCAGAAGTTTCTTGTCTTTAAGTTTCACTTTTCTCATAAAAAAATAAAAGCAATTTTTGAATCAATTCTTCGAAAAGAATTTTTAAAATCTATTGAATTTTTATAGGCTAAAGTCGTTTCCAAGAAGATTTTTCGACTGAAAATATTTTACGACAATTTCGAGCCGAAAATGCAGAAGTTTCTTGCCTTTAAGTTTCACTTTTCTCATAAAAAAATAAAAGCAATTTTTGAATCAATTCTGTGCAAAGATATTTTGAACTTTTTTGAATTTTTATGGGTAAATTAAATTTCCAAGAAGATTTTTCGACTGAAAATATTTTACGACAATTCCGAGCAGAAAATGCAGAAGTTTCTTGTCTTTAAGTTTCACTTTTCTCATAAAAAAATAAAAGCAATTTTTGAATCAATTCTGTGCAAAGATATTTTGAAATTTATTGAATTTTTATGGGTAAATTAAATTTCCAAGAAGATTTTTCGACTGAAAATATTTTACGACAATTTCGAGCCGAAAATGCAGAAGTTTCTTGTTTTTAAGTTTCACTTTTCTCATAAAAAAATAAAAGCAATTTTTGAATCAATTCTTTGAAAAGATATTTTGAAATTTATTGGATTTTAATAGGTTAATTAAATTTCCAAGAAGATTTTTCGACTGAAAATATTTTACGACAATTCCGAGCAGAAAATGTAGAAGTTTCTTGTCTTTAAGTTTCACTTTTCTCATAAAAAAATAAAAGCAATTTTTGAATCAATTCTGTGCAAAGATATTTTGAAATTTATTGAATTTTTATGGGTAAATTAAATTTCCAAGAAGATTTTTCGACTGAAAATATTTTACGACAATTTCGAGCCGAAAATGCAGAAGTTTCTTGTTTTTAAGTTTCACTTTTCTCATAAAAAAATAAAAGCAATTTTTGAATCAATTCTTTGAAAAGATATTTTGAAATTTATTGGATTTTAATAGGTTAATTAAATTTCCAAGAAGATTTTTCGACTGAAAATATTTTACGACAATTCCGAGCAGAAAATGTAGAAGTTTCTTGTCTTTAAGTTTCACTTTTCTCATAAAAAAATAAAAGAAATTTTTGAATCAATTCTTTGAAAAGATTTTTTGAAATTTATTGAATTTTAATAGGTTAATTAAATTTCCAAGAAGATTTTTCGACTGAAAATATTTTACGACAATTTCGAGCAGAAAATGCAGAAGTTTCTTGTCTTTAAGTTTCACTTTTCTCATAAAAAAAAAGCAATTTTTGAATCAATTCTTCGAAGAGAATTTTTAAAATCTATTGAATTTTTATAGGCTAAAGTCGTTTCCAAGAAGATTTTTCGACTAAAAATATTTTACGACAATTCCGTACAGAGAATGCACAAGTTTCTTGTCTTTAAGTTTTACTTTTCTCATAAAAAAATAAAACCAATTTTTGAATCAATTCTTTGAAAAGATATTTTGAAATTTATTGGATTTTAATAGGTTAATTAAATTTCCAAGAAGATTTTTCGACTGAAAATATTTTACGACAATTCCGAGCAGAAAATGCAGAAGTTTCTTGTCTTTAAGTTTCACTTTTCTCATAAATAAAGAAAAACAACTTTTGAATCAATTCTGTGCAAACATATTTTGAAATTTATTGAATTTTTATGGGTAAATTAAATTTCCAAGAAGATTTTTCGATTGAAAATATTTTACGACAATTTCGAGCAGAAAATGCAGAAGTTTCTTGTCTTTAAGTTTCACTTTTCTCATAAAAAAATAAAAGCAATTTTTGAATCAATTCTTTGAAAAGATATTTTGAAATTTATTGGATTTTAATAGGCTAAAGTCGTTTCCAAGAAGATTTTTCGACTGAAAATATTTTACGACAATTTCGAGCCGAAAATGCAGAAGTTTCTTGTCTTTAAGTTTCACTTTTCTCATAAAAAAATAAAAGCAATTTTTGAATCAATTCTTCGAAAAGAATTTTTAAAATCTATTGAATTTTTATAGGCTAAAGTCGTTTCCAAGAAGATTTTTCGACTGAAAATATTTTACGACAATTTCGAGCCGAAAATGCAGAAGTTTCTTGCCTTTAAGTTTCACTTTTCTCATAAAAAAATAAAAGCAATTTTTGAATCAATTCTGTGCAAAGATATTTTGAAATTTATTGGATTTTAATAGGTTAATTAAATTTCCAAGAAGATTTTTCGACTGAAAATATTTTACGACAATTCCGAGCAGAAAATGCAGAAGTTTCTTGTCTTTAAGTTTCACTTTTCTCATAAAAAAATAAAAGCAATTTTTGAATCAATTCTTTGAAAAGATATTTTGAAATTTTTTGGATTTTTTATAAGCTAATTAAATTTCCAAGAAGATTTTTCGACTGAAAATATTTGACGACAATTCCGAGCAGAAAATACAGAAGTTTCTTGTCTTTAAGTTTCACTTTTCTCATAAAAAAATAAAAGCAATTTTTGAATCAATTCTTTGAAAAGATATTTTGAAATTTATTGAATTTTTATAAGGTGTTATCGATGTTCAATGTTTAATACACTTTTATCTACGAATAATACACCGGAAAATAGTTGCGTTCAATGTGGTCTAAAATTTCAACACTCGTTTGTGATGTTTGGTAATATGATTTCTTCAATTTTGAAATTGAAAAATATACTTCACCGCAGAATTAATATATAATTTAATTTTTTATTTCTACATACTCTTATATTTTTACTAAATATGAAAAAGTGATTCAATGAAATTTTGCCAAATTGACATTATTTCTGTCTTTTACAGAAATTTTACCTCTAGTGAAATTTGAACTCCAATAAGGAATTACTGACGATGAGGCGGAGAAATTAATAGAAGAGCCAATTCAAAATTCCGAGGAATTGAATTTAGTGGAAGATCAATTAAAATTAATTAAGATCATTAAAATTATTTTTTCTGACAAAATTACGGAAAATGAGTAGAATTTATTAAATTTAATAATTTCTAAAAATTACAATTAGAATCCTTCCTGAATTCAATTATTCTCTACAATTTTCAACTAAACTTCATCTCTAAATCAATTATTTTTAATTTTTTTGATATTTTTGGAAAAGGCAGCTTGAACACTCGTAAAATAAAATAATTTATGTTCAGGCTAGTAAATTCTTGTTAAGAATAATTCAGTCTAAGTAAAAAATGTAGAATCGAAAATTTAAATGAATAATTCTATATTTAAAATAAATTAAATGCAATTAATTTTAATTTTTTGATGTTTTGGGAAAAGTCAACTTGAACTCTTCTAAAATAAAATAATTTATGTTCAGGCTAGTAAATTCTTGTTCAGAATAATTTAGTCTAAATAGAAAAATGTTGAAACGGAAATTTAATTCAATAATTTTATTTAATGTAAATTAATTTGCAATTAATTTTAATTTTATTTAGTTTTTGGGAAAAGGTATCTTGAACACTCATAAAATAAAATAATTTATGTTCAGCTTATTGAATTCTTGTTCAGAATAATTCAATCTAAGTAGAAATCTAAGTAGAAACGGAAATTTAAATCAATAATTGTATTGAAAATAAATTAAATGCAATTAATTTTAATTTTTTGAAATTTTTAGAATAGACAGCTTGAACACTCGTAACATAAAATAATTTATGTTCAGCCTAGTGAATTTTTGTTGAGAATAATTCAATCTAAGTAGAAAAATGTAGAAACGGAAATATAAATAAATAATTTTATTTAATATAAATTAATTGCAATGAATTTTAATTTTTTGATATTTCAGGAAAAGGCAGCTTGAACTCTTGTAAAATAAAATAATTTATGTTCAGCCTAGTGAATTCTGGTTCAAAATAATTCAGTCTAAGTAGAAAAATGTAGAAACGGAAATATAAATCAATAATTTTATTTAAAATAAATTAATTGCAATTAATTTTAATTTTTTGATATTTTGGGAAAAGGCAGCTTGAACACTCGTAAAATAAAATAATTTATGTTTAGCATTGTAAATTCTTTTTTACTTTTTCTTTTTTACTTGTAAAGCTTGTATATATTTTTTAAATATATTGCAGTAAGTTCGTACATAAAAACTAAACATTTTTCTCTTTGGAACCTATAACTATAACTGTTTCTAAGATATTTCATTTGTAACAACTGCACAGCGTAACACCTGGTTATTTATAAAATTCAATTACTTTTAAAATTTTCTATTAAAATTAATAAAAAAAAATCCATTACTTGAAAAAATTTCAAAAAAATTCTTCTAAAAAATAAAGAAAAAAAAATGTTTATATATTTTATTTGTCAATTGCAAATTTTAATTTAAAATAAAATAGAAAATTTGTAAATTTTTAGAAGATAAAGAAAAAAGTTTACTCAAAACAATGTTGTGTTATATTTATTTACGAATAATTATTATTATTTCACATTAATATCAATAATAATTTTTAATAATGAACAGTGCCATAATATAATTGAATTATTAAAAGAAACTCCTTTTAGCCTTCCAAATTCTTACTTTTTCCAGCGACACAATGCTTAGCCTTCCAAATCCTTACTTTTTCCAGCAACACAATGCCCAGCAACCTCTTCTCAAATCCATTGAGCCGTTTTTCTTCAACATCTTCATCATCTTTCTTTTCTGCTCGCCGCTTCCAAGACATTAAATACTATTAAAGAATTTTCATTAGTATAAAAATAATAGTTGATTGCAAAGAAAGAAAAACATTTTACTTACTTAAGTAAGTACAATGTTTCATAATGAATTAAACAAATAAATAGTTTCGTGCAAGTTTTGCAAGCTTATTGTGCAAGTTTGCCATAAGATTGATGCAAGTTAAAAATGTGAAACCCATTGAAAGCTTGCTGTGTAAACTTGACACGTAAGCTTGCTGCAAAATTACTTGGAAGCTTTCAGCAAGCTCGCGATTTAATATTTAAATTTTATTTAATATAGTATAATTGTAGCACAGTTATAATAAAAATGATTATTAATTAACCCCAAGAATTACAGGTGTGTATTATTATCTTTTATCAATGGATAATTATAAAAAATTGTTAAATTATATTAATAAAAATTAAATATTACATAATATGTAGAAAAAAAACTGGAAAGAATTTTAATTTAGTAAAATATTTATACGTCCGAATAATTTGGCAGAAATCAATTTAATAGAATTTCAATTTGCCAGAAATCTAATTCAACCAAATATCAATTTATGCGATTTGTTTTTTCGTAGAATTTAAATTTTACGCAGAAGTGTCATCAAAAAGAATCTGAATATTATCGAAAAACTTTTTTATGAAAATTTGCTATATCAGAATGTACACTGAGAAAACATTATACTTAAATGAAATACAAAAATAATGTTAGACGATTTTGTTTAATTGAAATTAGTTCGTAAGTTTAATCTCAATATATAGAAAATGTTTACTGCATATTGATTCAAAAGTATTATTTGTTTGAATAATTATATTTAATTCAAACATATTTTCTGTTACGGTTTAAACAAAAATTATGTTTAAAAATTTTATGTTTCAAAAAATTGGCCGAAATCTATCTACCTTTTCAATGCAATTTACTAATAATTTTGAAATATTAATTAATAATTTTATTACATTTCGCCACTGTGCTGCTGTTTTCTTCACCTTCCCTACATCATTTAATTTTTCAGCCAACTCTCTCCATTTTCTTTTGTACTGCTCCTTCGATATTTTTTCAAAATTTTTCGTGAGCAGTACAGGTTCTTTCTCAATGTTCGAAATCAGGATGAACTGGTGTTGAAGATTAACTCGCGCTAAAATAAAAAGATTACAATTTTCATCTAAACTACATCTCTGAATCAATTAATGTAAATAAATTATTCAAAAGTTTTTAAAAATATTTTTTGAAATATTATAGTTTTTAGATTTTGAAAAATTTCCAAACAATTAAGATTTGGTACAATCTTTTAAAAATAATTGAATTTTTGAAAAGTTTAAATAAAAATGATCAAATTTTTAATGAATTTTAATTATAAACAGGACCATGATTCTTCAAAAATTTTAATAAGTCCTAAAAGTAAATTTTCATAACTTTTTATTTATATTGTTCGAAAATAATTGAATTTTAAAAAATTATTATAAAGCAATTTTAATAATTAGTTTTTAAAAATATTTTAATTAGTAATGTCGCAAGGCTCGAGATTTTCGAGACGAGACAATCATTGTCAAGACCAAGACCAAGATGAACTTTACATCTATATTTTATGAAATTACTCTATGAATTTTAGTTATAAATCTAAAATTTTAGTTTAATGTGAAATATAAGACCAACAATTTCATCAATTTAAAATATTTATACATCTATATTTTATGAAATTACTCTGTGAATTTTATTTATAATCTAAAATTTTAGTTTAATGTGAAATATAAGACCAACATTTTCATCAATTTAAAATCTTTATACAAGAAAAAAATAAATGTTTTAACACTTACCTTTTTCGCAATTTTTCAATCTACCATATGTCTTTATAATTTATAGGAAGAAAATAGTTTTTAAATTATTGATCACATAGTAGAGTCTAAAGATAATATTTAAAACCTTTTGAAATTCCATGATTTATACAAATTGAATGTAAATTCAACTATTCTAAAATCCAATAGAATAATAGAATAAAAACAAAAAATTAAAACTTTTTAGTATTTTTGATAAAATTCTCTGATTTTCTAGAATAATTTTAGTTTTCCTTTCTTTTATTAAACTTCCTGTTTTCCGAACCTGTAGTAGTCTTATTAATTGAAAAAATATCGAGACTTCAAGACAAGACGAGATTCTACGTCTTAAGACGAGACTTTTTTGAGACAAGACTCTTTGTTGGTCTTGACATATCAAGACGAGACGAGATTGAAAAGAATCTCGTCTTGTCTCGTCTTGCGGCAACACTAATTTTAATGTATTTTTTCGAAAATAATTGAATTTTTTAAAGCAATTTTTGTATAGTTTAAAAAACTAATTAACTTTTTGATGAATTTTAATTAAAAATTTTAAATATGATTGTTTTTTCCAAAATTTTAAAAATAAGTTTAAAATGTTATTCTTTTTTAATGTATTTGAATTTTGGGAAATATGTAATTAAAAATACTGAAAATATTGAATTTTAAAAAATTAGAAAATAATTTTCTTTCTAATTCTTCAAAAATAGTATTTTAAAAATTTTTAATATACACTTTAAATAAATTAATTATTTTCAATTAAATTTTATAAAATTTTAACTATTCAAAAAGATTTTTATTGTAGATATTTGAAAATTTCAATTATGTTAAAAATTGATTCAAAAACAATTTTTGAAATATTTGTTTATAGTTATTTTTCGTATTATAAAAAAATTAAAATAAGTTGTACTTTTTTTACTTAAAATGATTGTATTTTGTTGAAATGTTTGGAATAAAAGTCGAAAAAGTAAAAATTTTTGAAAATAAGTCGAAAAAAGTCTAAATTTTCTTAATTTCCCTGACAAAATTTTTTTTTTGACATTTCCCTGACTTTACTGATAACAAATTTGTTTCCCTGACAGTTCTTTAACTTTATTGATATAGGTCACCCAGGGCTAGTGCATTTTGAAATATAAAAATTATATTGAATTTATTGTGCAATGAAGAAACTTACGTGCCATGATTCTGACTTTTCTTTTGATTAATATCCTTACTCTGAAATTTTCAAAAACAATTAAAATTTACGACTTTTAATATTAAAATATTAGTATATTAGTCCTTATTATTAACTACATTAATCTTCTTTCATTCATTTTGTCCGCCACTCTCTAAATCTGAATCAGTAAAATTCTACTGAAAATCAGTGAAATTTGACTGAGAATCGATGACTCTATTCTCGCTACTTGAATCAGTGGAATTTCACTGAAAATTAGTTAAAAATAATTGAAATTTCAGTCATTTTCCACTGATTCGCTAATTAAAAAAAAATACTGAAAACTTCTGTCACACATATTGAAAATGTCAGTTATTTTTTCATTGTCCAAGCAGTGAAAAATGACTGAAAATTTCAATTATTTTTAACTGATCTTCAGTGAAATTTCACTGATTCAAATCGCTAGAATAAAGTTATTTATTTACAGGCTTCACACTCCATTATGAGTTTAAAAAAAGTAGAAAAAAAGTTACCTCGACCTTAAAAAAAAGTAGGAAATATTATCCTCAGTGATAAAAAAAAGAATTAAAGAATTTCATTAAAAACTTTTTAAAAATCGAATTTTCAAAGTATTTTAATTTAATAATTGATAAATAATTAAATTTTATAAGGAGTCACATTATAATGTATTCATGTTTATAAAATGTGCAAAGATTAATAATTCAAATTTTTATTGGTTAATTTTTCAGTTTTCTGATGCGGGCGAGTGGAAAAACTGGCTATAAAAAGTTTATTAAAAAAATTCACAATGGTCAAATTTCGAAAAGCAACAATCCCCTATTTAATTTCAGACACAAAATATTTGGTCGAAAATTGTTCCAGTTACGATTTTTTTTTTACTTTTTTATATTTTTTGGTTTTCTGAAACGAGCGAATGAGAACACTGGCTATTAAAAGTTTATCAAAAAAAATTTTAAATGACCACCATTTGAAGAGCAATAATTCCTCCTTAAGTTCTGTCATTGAAAAAAAATGTGGTCGAAAATTCTTCGAGTTATGAATTTTTTTTGTATTTTTCCAAATTTTTCGGTTTTTCTAATACAAGCGGGTGGGAACGCTGGCTATTAAAAGTTTATTTAAAAAATTTGCAATGGTCATAATTTGAAAAGCAATGATCCCTGTTTAATTTCAGATAAGGAAAAAAATTGGTCAAAAATTGTTCGAGTATTGATTTTTTTGTACTTTTTTGAAATTTTCGGTTTTCTGATAAAGGAAGTGGGATTAAAAATTTATAAAAAGAATTCGTAATGGGCACAATTTAAAGAGCAATAACACTGGTCGACAAAATTAAGGTTTTTTTTGCTACAAGAATAAAGGAAAGTGATTCCTACAGGATTTTTGACGTAGATTACGAATCAGTAAGTGGAATTGTCCCATCATGTCTCAATTTTGAGAAAAACGGGGTCAAAGTGCCAAAAAATGGCTTTTATGGCACTTTTTGAAGAACAATAAGAAAAGAACGCGACGTGATAAAAAGCTCAAATATGACTTAAATGAGAGCTCAAACCCTCAACTTTAACATCCATAAGCAAAAATCCATGTAGAAATAATTCAAAATTGTGAAGAACAACTTTTCGCTAAAATTGCTAAAATATCGCCAAAATAATAGCTGTTTTACGCGCATGCGGTGAAAAGTTGTTCCCAACAATTTTGCGTTATTTCTACATGGTTTTTTGCTTTTGGATGTTAAAGTTGAGGGTTTGAGCTCTCATTTAAGCCATATTTGAGCTTTTTATCACGTCGCGTTCTTTTTTTATTGTTCTTCAAAAAGTGCCATAAAAGCCATTTTTTGGCACTTTGACCCCGTTTTTCTCAAAATTGAGATGTGATGGGACAATTTCACTTACAGATTCGTAATCTACGTCGAAAATCCTGTAAGAATCACTTTCGTTTATTCTAGTAGCAAAATTTTGTTGAACAGTGTAATCCCTATTCAATTTCTAACCAAGAAAAAAAATTTGATTCGAAATATTTGGTTTCGAAAAAAATTCCAAAAAAATTGATAATACGAATAATTTTCTACCATATTTTTATTTCTTTGTCAGAACTCAAAGGATTATTGTTTTTAAAATTTTACCATTGTGAATTTTTTTAATAAACTTTTAATATCCATCGTTCCCACCCGTATCAAAAAACCGAAAAATGTTAAAAAGGCAAAAAAAATTCATAACTGGAATAATTTTTGATCAAATTTTTTTGTTCAATGTCAGAATTTAAGAAAAAATTATTGCTCTTTAAATGGTGGTTATTGCAAATTTTTTTAAAAAAAATTTTAATAGCCAGCGTTCTCTACCGCCCGCTTCAGAAAACCGAAAAGTGTAAAAAAGTTTTTAAAAAAATGCGTAACTGGAACAATTTTTGAAAGGCCCGACAAGAGGGGAGTACAGTAGGGGTAAAAGTACCGGGGCCTGGGACTTTTACCCCTTGTTAGCACCAAAGCCAGAAAAGTATTACTTTAGTTGAAAAAGTGTATTAAATAATGACGTAAGTCTTCTCTCTATACTTTTAGCAACGGATTAAATTTTTTAGTTGAAATGTTCCAATAAAATATAAATTAAAAATTTATATTAGAAATATAATCTTTATAAAATTAATAATATTTAATATTATATTTAATAAAGTTTTTATAAAAATGTAATGTTTGAAAGAATTCAAATAAAAATATTATATTATTATTAAAATTATTATTTTTATTATCTTCCTAAAAAAAGTATAATTTACGCTTTTTAGTCCTACTAATGGGGCCCGCCCATGTTAATTTTCCCAGGGCCCGTGCTGGCTCTCCACGGCCCTGATTTTTGACCAAATATTTTGTGTCTGAAATTAAATAGGGGATTATTGCTTTTCAAAATTTGACCATTGTGAATTTTTTAAAATAAACTTTTAATAAAAAATAAATAAAATTTCTACTAATAATAGTTTTTAGTAGAAGATGGCGAAGCCTGTATTAATATTATGTAATTAACATTTAAAAAAATCCATACATTTAAAAAAGGGAATCGACATATTATTCATAGCAATAAATAAAATAATACAAAAAATTTTCTCGAATATAAAAAAGTTTATTGAATTATATTTTTAACTCATCAATCATAATTTTAATTCTACTTTTATAAACAAATATTCAACAATTTGAGGTTAAGATAGTTAATATTATTTTCCAATTAATGAAACACATCATTAACCCTCCGTCACACACCTAAGGAGGGATTCCCTCTACGGTTTCAGTATTTTTTAAATAACTTTTGTTTTCCTCATTGCAAAAAAATCAGTTTTTATACCTTTCGACAATTAACTTTTCAATACATTTCTAAAAAAACATTTAGTTTAAACATAATTAATATTTAATTATGAAGCTTCAAAGCCTGAAAAAACTAGAAAAAGTGAGGTTATGTTAAATAAAAAAATAAAGTTTTTAAAACATTTTTTGTTCCACTGATGGTTAATGACAAAATTATATTATAAATATAATTTTAAAATGAATTGTTTAATGATTTTTTTGCTTATTTGATAATGTTACATTATTTTTACATGTCAATAAGTGGAATTACTTCGAAGATGTGCATTCGTGTAATTAATTTTTATTTTTGAGTCCGAAAATTAATTTTATTAGTTTTATAATTTAGAATAATTTACTACATATTTGTAAGTTTGTGTTAAAACTAAATTTTTGTTGATTCTTTTGTTTATGTTGTAATGTTGCTTATTTTTCAATGTGGTGAGGGATTCCCTCTAATCGTGTGTAAAGTCGTAATTTTTCTCATGTGTGTGACGGAGGGTTAATAATTAAACTACTAAAGATTATAAACATAAAAATATAGAACATTCATTAAAATTAGTTCAGCTGATTTGAAAATAAATCAAAATTAATATACAAACTCTGTTGAAGTTGTTTGACAGCATAAAACATTATGATACATTTCATTATCATTCCTCGATTATTTATTTTGCATAAGTAAAATTATTTAGAGGCTATGCATTACTTATTTCACCTTTTATTAAACAATAATTTAAATAAATGTTTCGAATTTAACATTACCTCGTTTAATCTGTTTTATTAGATTTTATCAGAAAAAACTACAGAATAGTGAATCCCACAAAAAACATGAAAAACTGTACACATATGAATGACCATTTAGAATGTAAAATACAGTAGAATGTGGACAAAAATGCAGAGATGGGAAGAAGAACTCGCCGAGCGCTCGAACGAAAGGGATAGTTCCATTCTGGTAACAGTGTGTGGCCCAGAGGCGCTCACTGCTACCTGACCCGAATGCTCATTACATAGACATATTAGAATAGACTGCGCAAGAGGATTGAAATTCAGCTTGTGATATAGAAAGAGACATCAATGCGTTTGACCGAGACGGATAGAGCAGAAGAACCGATTGTCAGACTCTTTCTAGCGCACGGCATGCTTTGGAGTGAGGGAGAAAAAAGAGAGTTCTTACGCTCTATCCGTCTCTTTTTATACCACCGGCTTGCTCCTTTCATGGGAATCATGACACTTGCGCAGTCTATTCTTATATGTCTATGGCTCATTATGCCGAATACATAATTTAGAAATGACTAGTCATTAATTTAATTTATTCAATTTATTATTTAATTTAATTTATTGAATGAAATTCAAAAATCAAGAATAATCATTTGATATATTCTACATAATGAATAATATTAGTTTACACTAATTCTTTTTCTCAAAAATTTCAAATTATTCTAATTTTTATGTTTGGAATTTCCACTTTACCTACATTTTATTAATTTGAATTCTAATTTAGTAGAATATTCAATTGTCCGATTTATATTTTGGCAGAATGTCAATTCGATCGATTTTATATTTGCAAGAAATTGAATTTGACCGAATATCAATTTGTAAGAAACACTTTTTTGTAGAATTTTAATTTATAAGAATTGTTATTTTATAGAATATTAATATTGCCAAATTTTAGCAGTAATCTTCTTTATCACAATGATAAATGTTCGAATTTTATGTTTCTAAAATTTTAAACATTCTAATGAACACAATTTCATTATTTCTTCAAATTATTACAATTTTATAATAACATTTTGGCACGTATTAAAAAATAAATTACAAAATTGTTAATTATTTTATTTTTGTTTTTAATGTTTATATTAAAATAATTTTTGAAAATAATTATATCAGCAAAAGATTTCGTTCACTTCAATATTCAGAGCTTGTGGATGTTAAATTTATAAAGTATAAAAAGTTTTCCTGATAATTTTTTTTCTCATTTTATATGCAATAACAATTACACGTTAAATTGTCATTGAACTCGAAATTTTCTTATTTACCGATAGAGAATTCTTTTACTCCCGTTGTAATAGAGGGCGTGTGTGAAAATCAACCAAAGCATAAAGTTTTACATTTGACTTTCTGCTGCGAAATCCCAAAGGGAAGTACGTACTTTCGACCGAGATATAAAGAAAAATTAATTTATATCACCCCACTGACACGAGCAGTTAAAAAGTAAGCTAAACGTGACTGACGACCGCTAGGGGCGCTGGTAGAAAATGAGGCCTAGGTACATGAATGTGATTGGTTGTTTGAAATTTATATGATTATGAACAATCTAAGTAACCAATCACATTAATGTACCTAGGCCTCATTTTCTACTAGCGCCCCTAGTGGTCCCAGTCACCTCTCACCACACTTTTTGTATGGGGTTCCACACTGCCAAACTTGACCAGCAGAGTGCAACACCACTATAAGATTTTATGGCGCAAAATTTTAAATGTGATTTATTGCATAATATTAATTAAACAATATAAATGGTTTTTGTTCATGAAAATGAAGAATAAAATCATTAGTTCAGAAATATTGGTTATAATGTTTATATTATAATATTTTATATTATAATGTTATATGTTTCTATAAAAGAATTTTCTTGAGAAAATACTTTGAGAAAATGATTAATTTATTAGATTTTTGTAGGCTAAGTATTACCAGAGAAGTAGACAATTCAATAACAAAAACGGTTGGTTGAGAGGTTTTTCACAGATGGTTCGAACGAAAGAATCATGAAATAGAAACTTATAAGGCTGCGGTTACACCTCTGCAGGCAGCATGCCTGCCTGCAAGTTGTCATGGTAACGTACAAGAGTAAGAGGTGTAACCGCAGCTTTAGTCTCTTTGTATATTTTAGATGGAGGTAAAGGTGCAATGAGCGCAATGAGAGTGAGAGAGAAACAACATGTAATTTGAATTTTCTGACTCTCTTACTCTCATGTGTTACCATGACAACCTGCAGGCAGGCAGTAGGAGCTGTGCTAGCGCCTTTAGCTGCTGCCCTCTTGTAGTTGTTCTAGTTACTTTTTTCCGTATTTTGATTGCTTTTTTAAAGTATCAAAAAAATATTATTCAACTTGTAGAGTATTATATTTTTTTTTATTTTAATTAACAAAAAAAATTAATCATTCAGTAACAATTAATTTTATTATTATAATTGTAAAAAAATAATATATAAAATAAAAATTATTATTTTAATATAATAAACAAGTTTGGTAACTTGGGGTTTGCAGAAGTGCGTCACGTGAGTGGATTTATTAAATTTGTATTTGTTGGGTTGGTGCTAATAGGCTGTTTTCGGAAACAGAACTCACCCAGGGTTAACCCCGAGTTAAATATTATCCAATCATCAAAAACATTCTGTTGGACTAACCAATCACCATTAACCCGGAGTTAACTCGGGGCGAGTGCCGAAAACAGCCATAGTGTTTTGTAAAATGAGGTTAGGTTCTATGTTTATGTGTCGGCGGTGCCAGTTTTAAAGTTGAATTGACGACGCCATTTTTTCTAATGGAAATAAGCAATAGCTAGACCCCCCTCCCCCTTAAATGCTTACGTAATACTTGAATGGTCCCTTATGGATCAAGACTTGATCGTGACTCAAAGCTTAATTATGGATCGAGGTTTTGCAATGGCTCAAGGCTTGATTACGGGTCAAGGCTTGATTATGACACAAATCTTGATCATGGAACAAGACTTGGTAATGGTTCAAGGCTCGATTATGGCTCAAGGCTTGATCTTGATCATAGTTAAAAGCTTGATTATGGATCAAGGCTTGATAATGGCTCAAAGCTGATTATGGGACAAGGCTTGATCATAACTAAAAGCTTGATTATGGTTCAAGGATTGGTTATGGCTCAAGTCTTGATTTTTTTTCAAGGCTTGGTTGTAGATCATGGTTTAATTATGACTCAAATCTTGATTATGGATAGAAGCTTGATTATAACTAAATGATTGACTATGAGCCTTGAGCCATAATCGAGCCTTGAGCCATTACCAATCATTGATCCATAATCAAGCTTTGAGTCGTGATCAAGCCTTGATCCATAATCAAGCATTTAGGTATGATCAAGCCTTGAGCCATAATTAAACCTTCTTCCATAACCAAGCCTTGAGCCATGATCAAGATTTGTGTCATAATCAATTGGCTAAAGGTTTAATCCTTTAGCCCTAATCGTGCCTTGAGCCTTTACCAATCCTCGATCCATAATCAAGCATTGAGTCACGTTCAAGTCTTGCACCATAACCAAGGCTTGAGCCAAAATCAAGTCTTGATCCATAATCAAGCCTTGAGCCATAATCGAGCCTTAAGCCATTATCAAGCCTTCCCAAGCCTTGAGCAAGCTTTGCTATTTTTGACCTATATTTTATGGCTTAACAGCATGTAGCTAAAATACTTTTGATTTCTAGGAGTTTTGCCATTAACATTTTTTGTTCAGGAGATTATCAGCTACAAAACTATAGAGTTTAAACAAATTTGACCAAAACTTTTTTTAATGTATTTTGTGCGGGGTCCTTTGGAAAATGTCAGGGAAAATAAAAATTGTATTTATAGATAATCACAAATATGTACATAATAGCCATTTTAATAGAACTTGACAACGGTTTTTTTAATATTAAAAATTTTATTTAATAACAATAGAGATTTCAATATCAATTTAATGTGCAATAAAATATTTTAATTACCGCAGCCACAAAATTAGAATTATTAATTATATAAATATTTTTTGAAAATATTATTTAACAAAATTAAACTTTAAGAAAAAACGAAAAATCTATTTTGACACCCCTTTATCGCAATAAATGTTCAAAATGACCTCCTCCTACTTGGATACATAAAAGAGCTCTGTTTACTAGTGAAAGAATACTTCTTTGCACCATTTGTGGTGTAATGGTTTGCATTGCATTTAAGAATCGCTGTCTCAATGTTTCTAAATTGTTGATTGGTTGTCTGTAGACTAGAGACTTTACATGTCCCATAAAAAGAAATCTAAGAGGTTAAGATCGAGAGACCTTGGCGGCCATGAAATAATTCCGCCCTTTCCAATAAACAAATATTATTTTTAGCTGTTTCAAATTTCTAAAGAGGGATCAGAAAAAAAGTCAATATTCTATCTAGAAAACGTACACTTTTCGTTAGAATCGAAGTTAAAATTGACCAATCATAAATTAGATTGAATTATTCAAAACAAAAATTCACTAGGCTAAACATAAATTATTTTATTTTACGAGTGTTCAAGCTGTCTTTTCACAAATTTAAAAAAATAAAAATTGATTGCATTTAATTTATTTTAAATAAAGTTAATGATTTAGTTTTCCGTTTCTACATTTTTCTACTTAAAATGAATCATTCTAAACCAGAATTCACTAGGCTTTCGATATTTTCGATTAGTTTAAATTGTCACTATCTCAGAAAAAAGAGTGGAAGGTAGAAAAGTCAAGAACAACCTAAAACTATGAAATTAATAATTTTGATAATTTTGTAAATATCAAAGGTCACTGAACTGTAAGGAATTTTGATATTTTCGATTAGTTTAAATTGTCACTAGTTCAGAAAAAAGAAGAGAAGGTAGAAAAGTAAAGAATAACTTAAAACTATGAAATTGATAATTTTCATTATTTTTCAAATATCAAAGGTCACTCGAACAGTAAGGAATTTTGATATTTTCGATTAGTTTAAATTGTAATTATTTTAGAAAAAAGAGGGGAAGGTAGAAAATTCAAGAATAACTTAAAACTATGAAATTGATAATTTTCATTATTTTTCAAATATCAAAGGTCACTCGAACTGTAAGGAATTTTGATATTCTCAATTAGTTTAAATTGTCACTAGCTGAAAAAAAAGAGGGAAAGGTAGAAAAGTCAAGAATAACCTAAAACTATGAAATTGATAATTTTCATTATTTTTCAAATATCAAAGGTCACTCCAACTGTAAGGAATTTTGATATTTTCGATTAGATTAAATTGTCACTGGCTCAGAAAAAAGAGGGGAAGGTAGAAAAGTCGACAATAACCAAAAACTATGAAATTGATAATTTTTTAAATATCAAAGGTCACTCGAACTGTGAGGAATTTTGATATTTTCGATTAGTTTAAATTGTCACTAGCTCCGAAAAAAGAGGGGAAGGTAGAAAAGTCGAGAATAACTA